TGGTATGTTTTAATCAGAGTGAAACTGACACAGAGAATGACAGCATACCTGTGAAAATGTTACCTTGTATATTGTTTTCTGATGGCTTTATTGAGGTGGTAGTGGTCACGAGATGAACTTCCATAGGTTATACACAGCACCAGAAAAAGCATAGAGACACAGATAAACAAATCCCTGGGAGACAAAAAGAAAGGGACAGTTGCTTATACAGCTTTAAATCATATACAAATGGGTACACATGCACAAAGATACCCAGACACACCTGAGGGTGTTATGGATGAGTGTCTCTCTTCTTTTCTTCCCAGAAATCTTCCTCAGGTCTGCTGGAGCCGGTGGCCGCACAAGACGCAGGTGTCGAGCTCGCTGACGAGCTCTCAGCTGCTGTCCAATCAGACAGGATTAATTTTATGTTTCAGTAGAAATATACCTAACAGAACAAACTGAAACTGAGTCTGGCTATCACCTTTTTGAGGTAAGAGCATTGTCTCTGGAGAAAAGCAGATGACCTGAACTGCTCTTCTGGATGATTAGCACCATTGTGGCTCCATAGGTTTGAGGCCTCTATCTCAGACTCTGTGATACTGGAGAAACTATGAAAATCTGGTTTATTTGCGTACCAAAAGGAGACTGTCACTGCCACTGCAAGTATCTGTAAAAGGAAAAGAAGCAAAGACCATAAAGCATTAAACCACTTATCTTTTCCTGGAAATTTTAATATAGGATTAGTGATTCTACCATGATTTGGTTGAACTGTGTGAAACTGACAAAAGGTTGATATAAATTTACCACCAGTGGCTGAACGAAGAACATGCAAGACACCAGGGAAAAGAAAAGAGAATGTATCCAAAGCAGAGCCTTACTGATGCTAAAACTGACATGAAAACACATATAGACACAGTTACAGTATAACTCTAACACAGTGACATGGACAATATATGACATGTTCCAGTGGTATAGCATGAAAGCAGTTACAAAAAGTCAATATTGAGTAATTAACACAATTATCCATGTAACACCATTATACTTCCACTACCTCATCCCCAGCACAGCAGAAAGCACCAGGCAGGAGAGGGACAACAGCAGACACAATGCCCAGGACAGATAGCGACACCACTCAGATATAAGTTTGAATCTTCTCCCTCTCAGTTTGTCTGGCCATGTTTCCTCAAAGCCACAATTTGATGACCGTTTGTCTTCAGGATTTTTCTCTTCTTGGGTGGCTTGATATTCATCCCTTACACTGGACAAAATAACTTCAGTTTCATGAAACTTGCAGCTTTCACCTGAAAGAGCAAATTGTTTCCTGAAGTGGCTCATCAACACTTTCCCCTTCTATAAGCAACTAATTTTGAAACACTTGCCCTGTACCACTTCTAACTTCTGGAGCATCCTCCTTTCTTATGGTCACGTCTGGTTGGATTACAGATTCTTTATCTGTATCTTTATTTTCCAGACCTGTAGTAGACCGTGACAGCAGGTCTGTGCCCTTCAAAACAAAAAGAAAGTTGGACCGGAATGAACAGTGCTATGCAAACAAAGACATGGAAAGAAAAAGGCTGACGATCTAGTGTCTGACCTGGCATTTCTTCCTCCAGGTCTCCTGTGCCCGTTGCTGAAGACCAATCCAGGATATATGGGGCACACCGTCATTTACCGAAAGGTCATCTGTGAGGGAAGAAGAGAAAGTGAGGTGAGGGGAAATGCAAAAAGGATAAACAAAAAGTGGAATAATTAATATGGGAAGAAACAAAACAACATGACCAGATGGTAATTTATGGCATACTGTAGAAAACAGAAGAGAAGGTTGACATTTTCTGTGATACAGATGGGCATTGTGTTTATTCTCCTAACAAAGGGGAGAAGTGCTGTGCTGAAACCTAAACCCCTATGCAAGTTAACAAACCTCCAAAATAGTTATTTGCAGTATTTCTGCCACTTGCATGTTGGACTCCTGACCCCACTGGCTTGACCTCATGGAGTCGAAACAGAAAAGATATCATTGTTGCTGCAGGCAACACTGCCACCACACTTAACACTCCTGTCATCACAGAGGTGGCCGACGCATCAATAATACCCAAGTCGAATGGCAACTGCAAACAGGATTAGAAAACACAGCTGTAGGTGTAACATGTTTTAGAACTTTATGCACCAAATTTTGAACTTTGAAGGTATATATTAATCTACCTGATCATCTGTTGCATGTGATATGATTACTGCGTTGACGCATGCGTACCCCAGCAGCAGCATCAGACACACACTAAGTCTCTGAGTGTGTGTAAAAGAGTTAGGGTAAGGGCAGCTGTACACTGATATCCAGATGTGGAAGTCAGCTAAGTAGTCAGATAGCTTTAGACACAACATCTGCAAACAAAATACAGGTTGATACGCAGGGTCACATGACAATAGAATTTTAGTTTTTAAATTTTACTTAATTTAATTTTTTTGTATATTACTGTTTATACAGTGAGTGACAGAAGTATTTGAACACCCTGCGATTTTGCAAGTTCTCCCACTTAGAAATCATGGAGGGGTCTGAAATTCACATTGTAGGTGCATTCCCACTCTGAGAGATGGAATTAAAAAAAAAATTTCAGGAAATCACATTGTATGATTTTTAAAGAATTTATTTGTCTTGCACTGCT